CCACTGTACATGTTACTTCCGTGTATATGCACCAGGGTGAAACCTTTCCCTAACTTAAATTCCACTTTCCACGTTCGGCTTTCCACGTTCGACTTCCCAGCTTTCACTTCCCTCTTTCCACCTTCCACTTCCCATCCGAAGAGCTACTCCGAACTACAAATTCAGCAGCTCATGAGGGTCCCGTCAGTTTATGTAACCCACGCGCAGGCGTTCTGCGTGCATACACCTACATGGTGGTGTTTTCAGGGAAGCACTTTTTTTTTTTTTTTCTCCTCCCCCGATGATGTGCTACACCCGTGTAACAACCACCGTTTAGCTTTTTAATAATGGCAATGTGTGTATCCTTGCTAAGTCCATAAATAGTTTCTACAAAACAGTTTCTTTACCCTTTGAGCAGAGAAAAAAAAAAAAAATTTGCCATCGCGTGGTAGCTCACTCCCCCGGCATGCACAAGTACAACGGAAGGTGTGTGAAGAAGGACCCTCTTCTTTTGCAAAAATACAAAGGTGTGAACCCCTATATGCTGCAAGTACCCATTTTGATACATTTTCGAGATTTTAAATTTACCAATCGGGTAACCAGTTACAGCCGATGAAGAAAATTTTGTGTGGACTACTCCGTTGTAGTTACAAGGAAGAGTTTTTTACTTCCAATGAGAAAATTTTTCCCCTACCTGAGATGTTGGAATCGCTTCTCCAATTTTGAACATACCCCCTTTTATGCTAAGAGGGGTCCATTGTAAGTCCCCCTCCGACGGGCAATACCACTGCTCCTTTTTGTCCTTACGTTAAGAAATGACCTTTTAAAATGGTCAGCTTCTTTTCTGTTTCCTTTCTCTTGCCAACTTCTAACGAAGCCTATTTGTAAATTGTCCTTGTCGAAAATGGTGTAGTAAGATTTGATAAATATCTGTCCTAGTGTCCATCCGTCTATGTGACTTTCATCCTTCTGTTCGTCTGCTTGAATCCCCAGGACGCATTCTCTGGTCCAGTTTTCCTCATTCAGATACTCAATGACGTAGTCGTCTGGGGAGAGAACCAATTCGATGATGGCTGAACCTTTTATCCCTTCAATGCCTTTGGATTTTATTTGAAATACAATATAAGGGAGCTTGTCTTTATCCTCACAGGAATTTATTTCCAACCCGTTTAGGTAACTCTGCATTGTTTTCTTCGGGGCATATATAAAGAACGTCCCTGTGTCAATAATGGACTTCTTCCCCCCATCGTGGAAACCTTCGTACTTCACGACAACCTTGTCTTGGTTTCTTTCGACGCTCACGCCTCGTGAATATTCCTTTCTCACTCCCACGATGTCGACTGGTAAGAGGGGGAGAATGGGGGCTCATATAAAGACGCATACGCACATAAAGAGGCATGCCAAGATATGCGGATGTCTGCGCCTGATCCCTCCAACTTCTGCTCCAGTGAAGGGACTGAAAAAAGAAACATTAGAGAAACTTTCACTGCGAGCCCCTTCACTCGAGTCCCTCCCTTGCGCACTTGTCCAAAAGCCCATCTCGGTCGAAACGGGGCTCCACCTATCCCGATTTTAAGGTAAAAATGAAGGGGTCGAAATGACAAATGGGTAGGCAGATGGATCAGAAAATGGGTAAGAAAATGAGTAAGAAAATGAGTAAGCATGCACAGGCGCATAAACACACCCATACACACACGCATAAACAGACGCATATGTTGGCATCCCCCAGCGATAGACCTCCAAACTGGGGAAGCAGACACGTTTTAAGGGGGATCAACACACATAACTTCCTCCTCGGGTGATCTCTTCAATCGGTTGTCCACTCCTCCGAAAGTAATGAACCCCCCTGCGGAAAGGAAGGGGCACCAAAGTGGTAATAACTTATAGCCCATACGGATGAGGGGGGAAATGATGCAGAGGGACATATAATCCATGCCCAGAACGGATCTAGAAGAATCTCCTCTGGTCGAAGTTTGCACCGAAATGGTCACAAGTCAGCTGTCCACTCAATACCTCTGTTGGATAGGTAATAGCCAAACTGGTTCTTGTAGCCCATGTCCGTTAAGATGTTCTCATCCTTCAAATGGTCCAGGCTGGGAAGAGTTGATTATAGAGGGGCATTCATTTATGCGCATAAGTGAGCGGGTATCAGTAAGCGCTTACGAGTACGTATTGTTGGGGGAACCCCCTCATTCGTTATTCCCAGGCGGGGGTGATAAGCGACAATCCCTGCAGGGACCGAAGGGCCACCATATCGGCCACCACCCCTGGAGAACACAATAAATCCAACTAACAAGGGCTTCATCCCGCGCTGCCTCGAATCCGCGTTCTCAAATCCGAGACCTAAGATACCATCCTTGAGGGAGGCGATGGAGTGTGTGGGGGGTTACAATCGGGCAGGTAATACAAAGAGTAAGGGGAGGGAAGAAATATGCACAAGGTAACTCCAGCGTAGTGTGATCCGACATGGAAATACAATCGGAAGATATCCCCCCAAGACATGAGAAGGTCAATTACACCCGCCATGTAATGTTACCCACTTAAATTCTTCTAAGACGAGTATTTCTATCTTCGTCTGTAAGGTGGATGATCAGGAAAATTTTTGTGGCGTAATTATTTTTTTTTTCTCAATATATATGATCATCCTTAAAATGGCTAGTAGACCACGACGATGAAGAAATTGAGTAGGTCTGTCTTTCTTCTTCTTTCCTCCACGTACAGCAAAGGCAATGTTTGTGTTCGGAACGGAGAGATTTGCGCCTAACTTTATGGTGTCGTAGCCTGCACAGTTGGCATAACCCGGTGTGGAGATAAAACATTACATATAATTCTATGCAAATGGGGACAGGGTAACATCGATAGGTCAGTCACGACACACTTGTGTGGGCGCAACCCACTTGGCATACCGTCAAACCCGATGACCTTCCCACTGAGATAGCTAACCTCCAACAACGTTGGAAGTCCCTCCTTGCTAAATTTATTTCTAAATGATTTGGTGCGCTTATATTTATTGTGAGAATCGGGGAAATTATCTCCTTTACAATTTTCGAATGGAATCCAAAACTCCGTAGAGCCCGTGTCGAATAACACATTGATTACATTTTCCGACTTCTCTCCTACGGCCACTTGGCCATAGTATGTTGTCATTTTCTTCGATGGTATGTCTTGCTTGATCAATTTGATTAAAATGGGGTTGTTCTTTTGGTTGACCCTTTCTGAGGGAAAATCTCCACCCGCGCGATGTGGAGAATCCCTTCGCATTTTGTCTACTCCCTGGGAGGCAACATAGAAGCGGCTCCCCCCTCCATTTTTTAAAAGGGGCGAGGAAAATATACTTAACCATATGTTCAGGAGGCACAGGAGGCCAATTCGCGCAACGAAGTTGGGCTTCATCTTAAAGTTGCTCACAAAAGGGGGCGAAAAAAAAAACAAGAAAAGAAACAAACAAGAAAAAGAAAAAAAACCACAAATAAGCACACACACACATATATGTGGGTATGTGTGACCCCCGCTCAACGACAGAGAAACGGGATAAGCCCCCTTCGATAAAGAGAACAAACACAAAAAAAACAGTTTTAAAACTTTCCTATTTACGCGTTTAACTGAATGAGAAAAAAAGTTCATTCCATTTTACACCCCATTTCGACTCTCCTTCCATTTCACCTCGTTGTTAATCGCTGTCCACCCGAAGACCCTGCATCGCCCCTCTTTCCATTTGCCCATCTGCGCATTTTATTTCCGCTGAGTAATTTTTAATGTCTTTACACTTGAAAAAAACTGTGCATTTTGCTTTAACCGTAGAGGTAAAAAGTGAGGGAAAGGTAACATTACCATGCCGTACACGCAAAAAAAAATCCTGTTTGCATAGGTGTGATCGAAAAGAACGACATAAAATTACGTTTTCCTGATGTAGACGACATGGTTGAATTTTCTGTTTCTCCTGTGGTGCGGTAAGCTTCGAAAGGATGTAGCGCCCACGTGAAATGGACAAGTGAAGTGCTCAACGGGAGGCTAAATGTATGCGACGTGCGGGGAAAGGGGAAATGCAAAAAGGTTTGGAAAAAGGAAAATTCTTCGCATTTATCCTTCTCCTGCCCCCTATCACCCCAGCCTTTTTACCCTTTTGCTCATTTTCACTTTTATTAAAAGGGCTAAAAAAAATGTTTTCAAAAATGCCTTCTAAAAATGTTTTCAAAAAATGTCTTCAAAAAATGCCGATAAAATCGCATAAAAATGGTACCCACCTTAAGTTGCATGAAAACACACATGGAGGGTGACAATAAAAACAAAAAATGTTGTATGTCCATGTATCGGTATACTTTCGTGCACATATAGTGTTGAAATGAGAAAAAAAAAAACGAAGAAAAATTAGTATATAAGCCTACTAACATATTTTATTGAAAATCTTCGTAACGTAATATGCTAATCAAACATTTTAATTTAGTTTGTTTCTAAGAAAGAGACAAATGTGGTGGATAATTCGATTTTTTTCTTTTTTTTTTTGCTTTTTTTTTCTTTTTTTTTGTGCATATTTCCATTCGTGACATTACAACTTGAAAAATTTACAAATTCGCAAATGAGCGTGGAAAACCGATGGGGCGACGAAAAACGCGCACGGCGGGGAGGGGGCTCCGCGACGTGACAGGGGAACGAAGAGGTAAGTGAACGATTGAGTGACTGCAGACATGCAATATAACAGGTGTAAGAAGCGATACAATAAAAAATCGAATTAGTGATTAAATTGAAGACCCAATTGGTGGCCACATTAACGACACGTTCGCATCCCAGCGCACAACCGAGTCGTCGATGGGTGGGGATCTTCCGCGAGAAAGGAGATGAATATGTTTTAAAGCAATTATCATTTGATACAGTGCGCCTACCCTTCTCAAACGGAAAGGTGCTGCCTCTTTTTTTGCCATGCCGCCTCTCCCTTTTTCTCTCTCACCCTCTGTTGAAAAGGATTGATTTGACAGGTGGGTAGATAGGCAGATATGAAAGATGCGTGTTTGTAGAGCAACGAATCAAGCCATAGGTGCGACTGGCTTCTGCTCCTGGTTCCTTTCGCCGGGCTGTTCTTCCTTAACCACCTCCCGCTCAGCACTCCACTTGACATTTTCATCTTCCACTTTTTGCAAACGCTCGTTTATTGTATTCGCCTTGGTCACGAAGTTGTTATACCCTGTTACTATCAGCTGGTTGTTAAAATAAGCTTCGATGTTCTTTCCCGTAATGGCAACAAGGGACCCGGACGTATTGTACAGACTACAATTATCGAAAATTAATTGGACGTCTCTAATGAATTCAGTCGGCAACCCATACTGCCCTTTTTTCAATTTCGTTTTTACACAACTAAATGACATTGGATTTTTTATAACGTCGTAGTAATCTGGACAGTTTTGTTTTTTGGCGTCTACTAGCTTCTCGAAGATATGTCCCCCTTCGTACTTGCTTAGGCTTTGCATTATTTGATTCGCTATAACGTACCACTGCTTGTTGAAGGGATCATTAGAGTGGTTCACCTCTAAGTTTGGTGTGGTGGTCACGTTCCTTGGCCATAAAGCTATGTCGGGGAACTTCCTCTCAAATTCTTTTAACTTTATCAATGGCGCATCCACCCACAGCTGCGGATCTTCTTCCTCCAGCGGCCTGTACTGTAGCTTGTACTTCTTTCGCAGGGCGTTAACTGTTAAGCGAGGGGCAGAGAAGTTAACGAACGGATAATTGCAGATGTGGAAGAAAAAAATAAAAAAAAAAAAAAAAAAAAAAAAAAAAGGGGGGGGGATATATGACGAGGGTGAACCTAGAAAATCCACCCAGAAGAGAAGGCACTTCTCTGCTCAAGATGGTACCCCCCCCTTCCGTTGCACAAATAGCGCGCTTGTGCATATAGAAAGGGACGCGAATTTTTTCACGGTCACAATTTTTTTACCATTACTGTTGGAATCCCCCGGGGTGCTGGCAATTGCGTTGTTTTCACTTTTGACTATCCCTCCTTGGGAACTCGCTGTGTTTTATTTGAGGGAAAAAAGGGGAAGCGAAGAATGAGCTAATATGTGCGTCTATTTAAAATGCAAACTGTGGCAGGCACGTTTTGCAAGCACGCATGCATGCAAGCGCGGGGAGATGGGTACACAAGGGGAAAATCGCACGAAAGAAACAGAGCGGTTTGACCGGATCACACAAAGGCAACATTACACGAACGTCTGTTCTACCGCTCTGCGCCTGTACGTACTTGTGATGGCCACCTCCGCATAAGGCTTGCTCAGTGTCTTAGCATTCTTAAGCAAATTAATAATGTTGTTGTGCCCATTCCCCTTGGCGAACGTCAAAGCGGTTCGCCTCTGCGCGTCTTTGATGGCGGGGTTAACCCCGTTCTCCAGTAGACACTTCACCGTGTCGTATCTCCCATCCCTGCACGCATAAAACAAACAAGTCTGTTTATTCAAATCCAGTAAGTTAGGGTTTGCCCCTTTCTTTATTAAAGTTTCCACACAGTCAGTCTTCCCCTCTCTTGAAGCATAAAATAGGCATGTTTGTCCAAAATTATCCGCGTCATTAGGGTTACAACCCTTGTCAATTAAATAATTACATAAATTGGTATGCCCTTCTCTGGCAGCATAAAACAAGCAAGTCTGTTTCATTAAGTCTTTTGCCGTGGGATTGCAGATGGCAAATCTTTCAATCAATAACTTACATAGGTCAACCGATTCTTCGTCATTTTTCCTTGCAGTCACATAAAACAAAGGGGTAGAGTGGGTCTGTTTATCTATGATTTCTATCTTGCTGCTATATTCACCCTTGGCATTAACTTCATACTCTTTGTAGTTTTCCTCAAGGAATTTGAGTACATTGTCAAGGTTGTCTTCTCTTATTGACTTTATTAGGGGTAGGGTGTTAAAATCTTCCAGTACCATTTGTCACTATTCTGTGGTGGTGTGTGGTTCCCCGTGGTGGGATCGATCGGGGTGATCCACCTAATCTGCGCAATTTACGCAATCCTCGTAATCGGCGTGATCGGTACGATCGGAATGGTCTAGCGTGGATGCCTCTGGTGCGCGGGCGAGGTTGCGTGGGCGAAGTTGCGTGGGCGAAGTTGCGTGGGCGAAGTTACGTGAGCATGTTCTTCTCCCCCTTCCTTAAACATTACGTGGAACGTAATAAAACGGTCTGTGTGTCCGTGGGGTGGTGCATTGGGGGGGGCTGCTCAGTCTTTTTCTCTTTCTCGATAATTTAATACGATGCGCGAGTGTAAAAATATACGTGCGGGTGGGCATACATACAGGCAGTGGCTAGCCCAACTCCATCACTCTCTGTGCACATTCTCGTCCATCCCCTGGCTCGGAAATTAGCAAACGGATTAGAAAACAGTTCGCCCAGAAGCAACTCCACTGCAACTTCACTGCAAATCCCCGTAATTACTGCAGATTTCGGTTGACCCACTCGGCACTCACAATTTAGCACTGTCCTCCGTATGCTCCTTCCACTTTCTCTTTATTCTTCAAATGGTCAAATTTGACGCGTATACGGTGGCTCGATGCAACCAACAGCGGTGCAGCGGAAGTTCCGAATTGAGTAATACTTCCAACGCTAAAAAAAAGGGTTGCTACTCCCTTCTTTTTGTTTTCCTTTGATTGTATAAAGTTGGCCTGGGGGGAGACTGCAAATGATGACCAAGGAATATACGCAGGTACAGACCAAGGGGGGGAACAAAAATATGCCTGTGGGGAAAAGTAGGCAAATTGGTGGAGGAACGTAAAAAAATGAAGAACAAAAAGAGCAAAAAAGCAAAGGGAGTTAAAAACAAACAGAGGGAAGAGGCAAGGGGAAGAAAAAGTCACAAATAAGAAGGCTTCTCTTCCTCGCAACAAATTTTTTCATTTTTTAAAAAATTCAAAAGCATTTTTAAAAAATTTCTTATTTTTACGTGAAATTGCGAAATTGGCACATTGAAAAAAAAGATAAAAAAAAAAAAAAAAAAAAAAAAAAGTCACCTCACTGTGACTTGGTCCGAATTGAACAGAGAATAAATAAAATGGCATTTTATGCGGATGGCCAACTGCAGTTATTTTTGTATACCTTATAAAATATACCCTCTTACAATTGTATCCACGTTGCTGGAATGGGCCGGGCGCGCTTATACTCTCTTCGCGAGCGCAGGCCTCAACGTTTACGCGTGGGCACGTGATTGACGAACGTGATTACGAACGTGATCCGCGCGCGTGCTTCCATCACGTAAATGTTTGTATTCACTTATTATTAATTTTCCCCCGGACGACCCCTTCCCCGTGTTAATTTCCCCGCTCTGCCTCCACTTGTGACGAAAAGTTTTTCTTCAAATTTAAGCATAGCAGGTACGCGAAGATACGTACAATGTGGGGACATCACATTTGCGTCCCACGTGTATTTTCTGTCCCCGTTGGAACTTGGGCGCTGCACCATTATTCCTCTTTTCCCAGAAGAGGTACCTTTCATTCGGCTGTATGAGGAACCCTCCAGGCGTAACCCACGCTCGCACTTGACGAATTTTCCGCAGGACCAGGAAACAACATAGAACCTGGCCATATTTTCATAGAGATTTACGCCGTGAAGAAAGTGCCGCCCAAGAGGAAAAGCTCACACTTTGCAAAAGAGCGGAGGAACCCTTCACCCAAAGTTTGAGCTCCCCCGATTGGATCAGAAAGTCGTTTCCGCTGCTCACTCTGATGAGGGTACTAAATGTGGGAAGAAGCATGACACGAGAAAGTACTTTAATGTAAGGGGTTCTCTCCCTTTTTTTTTTGCCCATATGACATTGCATATCGATTCATATGCATGTACCATCTGCTTTCTTTTTACGAACCTAGCTCGAGTGGCTTTTCCAAGCAGAGAACGACTGAACGGTACACCGTCCACCACCTTTGATTTTGTGCCCAACGCGGAAGTTATACCTGTATATATCTCCACCGAGGAACCTTTTCTGTCAAGTTATTTTCTAACACACCATGAGGATCCAAATCAAGGGAGGAATATGGAAGAACTGCGAAGATGAAGTGCTGAAGGCGGCCGTGATGAAGTACGGCCTGAACAACTGGTCCCGAGTTGCGTCCCTTCTGGTGAGGAAGTCAGCCAAGCAGTGCAAGGCCAGATGGTATGAGTGGTTAGACCCATCAGTGAAAAAAACTGAATGGAGTAAAGAGGAAGAAGAGAAGCTTCTACATCTGGCCAAGCTATTCCCAACACAATGGAGAACAATTGCACCCATAGTTGGAAGAACAGCTAAGCAATGTTTAGATCATTATGAATACCTCCTGGATGAAGCAGAAGGGAAAGTGTACGACAAGAACAAAAATCCGAGACATTTACGACCAGGGGAAATAGATCCTGCACCGGAGACGAAACCTGCAAAGGCTGACCCCGTGGATATGGATGAAGACGAAAAAGAAATGTTAGCAGAAGCGAAAGCAAGGCTCGCAAATACTAAGGGGAAAAAGGCAAAGAGGAAGGCCAGAGAAAAGCAATTAGAACAAGCGAGACGGTTGGCATTGTTGCAAAAAAAAAGGGAGTTAAAAGCCGCAGGAATTGTTTCCACCACGACGGGTTACAAAAAAAATGATAAACACAGAATAGATCATGTGAAGGAGATCCTATTCGAAAGAAAACCGGCCAAGGGATTCTTCGACGTGAGTGAGGAACAGTCGCTTACCCATTTCGATGAAAAAAAAGAAAGCAAATTTAAAAGCATAAAATCGATGGACGTGGATAATATAAATGATGTAGCATTGGGTCCGTACGATCACCACGATGAGACGAATGCTTCGGGGAAGAAAGCATCGTCCAAGGGGAAACGAAATAATGAAGAGAAGGACCTCCTTTTGGCCATCGAAAATTACGACAAGCAGTACAACGAATTGAGTCACCTGAGAAAAAGGGTCCGACTGAATCTACCAGAACCCATTTTAAACGAAAATGAATTGGAAGAAATAATTCAAATTAACAAAGAAGCTAGTTCCTTCAATAAAATTATAAAAGAACAGAATGAGAAGAACAACCAAAACGGACTAGCCATTAGCAACATACTGCCAAGTGTGACGAGCTCCCCTTTTATGTTAAACGAGAGGGACAAATTTTCCTCCATCGGAACCAACTTTTACAGCAAATCGATTGCCTTCTCAAGCAAACTAGATTTTGGCATACAGAAAGCCGCACAGAGTATTATATCAAGAAATATGAACGAACCCATCATTGGGATGGGGGAGTCCATGCAGATGAAGCAGCAGCCGAAGAAGCAGCCGAAGCAGCAGCAGGGGGGGGAGGTTGAAGACGAAGTGCCCGACGACAACGTGGATGACGAAGAAGAGTACTCCCCGATGCTTCACGACGAACCGGAAAACATTGCCCAAAATGTCCAAGCAGTGCGAGAAGAAATAGAAAGCTGGAAAAAATTGAATCCAAGTGAAACCTCCATCAAAGAGAGAAACCAATTAAAAGACAAAATTATAAATGACATTAGGAGCAACAAAAAAAATCCCAGTCTGTATGCTCACTCAATTATATCTTACAAGATTGGAAAAAATGAGAATTCCCTTTTGGACAGGAATACTCTGCTGAGCGAGTTGTACGATGAAGATTACGAAGAAAAAATCGACAGAGCTAAGTTGCTCATAAAATCTTCCCTGTCACATTTGCCAAAAGAGTCCAACGTCATCGAGTTACAAATTCCGGAGGACTTAAACGAACAAGAGTCGCAAATAAATTATGGACAAGTTCAGATAGAAAAAGACATGCAAGAGATCGAAAAGGAAAAAAAATTGGAGCAGCTTAAAAGAGAACAGGAAAGGTTTAATAGCCAAAATAAAGTTATTAGGTGGAATTTGCCAAGGCCTTATTTCCTTCCCCAAATGAACTTAACCCCGTCGGTACCACTGCCCAGCACTCCAGAGGACGACACGTCAAAAGAGGTGGAAAATGCCGTACGTAACGAAATGCTCCTTCTGATCAAAAATGATATGTTTAATTATCCAATGAAAAATGGCACGCCCATTCAGAAAAGGGTCCCCCTGGATAATGTGGACAAGACCTACATGAGGATGGCCCTCCAGTTTGTCCAAGCCGAGTTGCAGAAGATTACGCCTCCGGAGGGCGAAGTGGGACATCTTGACGGGGAACAGGCAAATGGGATGAAATCCTCCGCCGAAGTGAACCCCTCTGATGAAGCCACCTCGTCGCCCATCCGCCAACCACACAACGTAGAAACATGGAGTAAAATAAACGACGAAGTCCTCTTCTGCCCAGCGAAAAACAGCTACACATTTATCGAACATATGAGCGAACGTGATATCAAAGAGAGTTACAAACACACATGTGAAAAGATGAACAGGTTTATTCACAAAAATGTAGAGCTCTATAAAAAAACAGAAAACAAATACGACGTATACACAAAGGGTTATGAGCGAAAAATTAAGGGTTATAAAAAATCCTTCGATTCACAATTCAACTTGTTTGTAAATTATTCGAATGAGAAGGACGCGCTGAGCGCTCTGCATGAGCGGGAGAAAGCGCATGCCCGTGAGCGCATTCGGGAAGAACGTGAGGAAAATAAAAAGGAAATTGAGTATCACAAGTCACTCCAGCGGCTGTACGTCGAGCTGCTTGAGGACAACAAGCGCTTGCGGGAAGGCGACCCCAGACCAGTCTCCGTCCCGTAGGCGCCAAAAAGGGTGCTGTCGCATTTGGACAGATCTTCCAGCAGAGGTCAACTCACCCGGATGATTGCCCCCAAAGCGAACCAAACCGGACCAAACCGGAATGTGGCTCCTCCCAGCCAACCCCGCTTCTTCCCTTTTTTTTTTTTTGTACTATTTGACTTTCTTAACAAACCGCACGTGCACACCAAGCAGGCGAACTTCCAACCTCTGAAAACACGTAACTGTGTAAACGGTGTAGGTCATTCGAATCAGGAAGTGTCCATGGCGGATGGCGGCAGTATAGGGTTTGCACCCCGCCGTTATACTTCTACCCCACAGCTGCTATACTTCTCCCCCTCAGCGACCGCGCTTCCTCCCCGAGCGCATAAACCCGCAGACGCAGTTCTTAACCCCGCACTGGGGGCACTTGGGTTTCTTCAGAAGCTCCGAGTACTCTTGCTCCTCGCCAGAGGAGTAATCAATTATGGCACGCGGCTGCGTATACTTGTAGACATTCATAAAATAGTCCTCCCCTTGTTTTCTCTGTTCTCTTTTTCGCAAATTTTCGACGATGTCTTCTTCTTCATACTCATTCTCCTTGTTGGTTTGGTTGATGGGCGAGTTCTTCCTACTAGGCTTGGAATCTACTATATATTTAGAATACATCCCGACTTGCCTCTTCTTCTCATATGCATTTGCTGTGAAGGAGCTCAGTTTGGGGTTCATTTTAACCTTAGCATTAAGCACGTCCTTCTTTATAAGTACATTTCCATCGTCAGTTATTGTGATTTCCTTCGGCAGATTATCCAAATTATATATGTGTTCACAGTTGGTGTAAAAGGAGGCATTTTCTTGTTTCCGTTTTACGCCTTTGCATAAGTACTCCAGGACGCCTCCTTTTTTTTTCCTTCCCATAGGCACCTCGGCGCTGCGCTCGTCAGCACCCCTGCGTTGGTCGTCATCACTGTCATCGTAATATACGACACAGTTTCCATCCGTGGTGCCCAAAAAGAGCTGATTTATGTGGTCATTAAAATGCGTGCATATGATCCCTTCCTCTTCGTACCGCCTCTCATGTACCAAATCGAAGACCTCCCCGTATGTGTCGTAAATCTTTAGTGCACCTTGTATGAACTTTTCCGTTTTGTTCGAAGCAGCAACTTCGTTTAGAAATTGCTCCATGTCTTCATCCCCCTGGTAGACCTTCACATAGTTGTTGGCATATGAGTCGGCTCCCTTCCTTTTCAGTTCCTGGGGTATGTAATTTTTTCCGTGAGGGGTACTCCCCCCCCCTCGGTCTCCTATGGCACCCTCATTTATAGGCACCTCATCTATTACCACTTCTTTCCTTTCTTGTGTTCCCAGCACGAGGTATCGCTCATCACTCCCACACAAAGACATGTTGCTATTTTTAAAAATGGTCGGAACGAATTCAATGGTTTTAACGCACCTTTGTAGATTCCTCCTATCCCAATACTTAACGCTGTTATCTAAGCTCCTGGTAAAAAAAAAGTGATCCCGCTTTCTGCATGTCAAAATGTCGACAATGGAATCGGAATGGGAAATGTCTCTCCTGATGTGTTGCTTAGGTTTGGGGCTATACATATAATCATTCGATATTTTATTTCTGACTTCTATCTGTCCGTTTTCACACCCCAAGATGATGGAATTTCCATCCCGGACAAACTGACAGCATAGGACATTGTTTTGAATCATGTTCCTTTCATTCACCACCTTCATACATTGATGGTGCACTAGTTCTTTGTCAATCCCGTAACAATTGTTTTTCTCCAAGTTCCAAATTCTAACGGTACTATCTAAGCTTCCACTTACGAAGATGTTTTCATTGCAGGGATGGAATCGACAACAGTTAACACTTCTCGTGTGTCCTTTGGTTTTATTAACATCGGTAATGTACATATCTCCCCTGATCGTATTTTTCACTATTTTCCCTGTCCGGTCATACACATATGATTTATTTCCATTCGCTACCAAGATCAGGTTACTAGTCGCATCCACTGACTGAATGATGGATCCTTCTGCTAAGGTGATAAGTTTGGAACAGCTTTTTTCCGCCTTGTTCATACTCTGAAATTCATATATGCGGATGCAGTTGTCATTGCCGGTCAGTATGAGGCTACTTCCCTTTCGTACTGTCTTTAGTCCGCTTATATTTTTCTTGTGCACAGGCAGGACCTCTTCTTTCATTTTAGCAAATTGGAGTTCTGCTTCCTTCTCGGGTTGCAGGCTACTCGCGCATGGGCCCTCTCCCTGCTTTCCGCGATCTGCACGTTCTCCCCTTCCTTCGTCGCTGTCTCCTCCGCTTCCATCGCCGCTTCCCCCCCCGCTCCCTTCTAAAAACTCATTGGATTCGCCTGACTCGGAAAATTCCTCGGGGTACTCGTCATCCCCTACAACGTCGTCATTTTGGCTGCTCAAGTCGGCTGACCTTCCGTTAGGGTTTTTCCCCCCGTCGTCCTCCCTCATGCTGGGCAGTTCTTCCTCAAGAGGTGATTCCCGCTTATTATCAATTCGAATGTTATGGATCCACCCTTACCCGAGTCCTTTTCCCTCAGCGCCGCCTAAATGTCGAGCTCTGTCGCGGGTTCCTTGTTGCTCTTGTTTTTTTTTTTTTTTTTAAACTATTTCGTTGGTCTGAGAAAGGACAGTCTAGGGGGCCTGCGGAGGCGACTCGCGCGCACCTTCGTGGTTCGCACACTGCTTTGCCATGTGCCATTTGCTGCTTACCACTTATCATTTTATTTTTTTTTCAGCCGAACTACTGCTTGCGCTCGAGGCGGAGCTAGTCGCTTCTCTGCATTCGCCGCCATTCGCCACCGTTGCGTGCCTTTCTCAAAATTTGCCTCTCGCGCGTTCAATTTTTTCCCCCTTTTGTAATTCCATTTTTATTTTCAGTTTTTGGGGAGGAAAACTACCATTGGATAATCTGCACAGGAAGGTACATCAAAGGGAATCCCCTCGTGGGAGTGGAAATTACATCCACGTAGCGCTGCTCATTTTGCTTCTTCCCTCATGCTTCCCTCCTTCGCTTCTACCCCATTTGTGGCTCCCCTTTTCATTGAGCAACAATTCTCTGTAAAGATGATTTGTGGTCCTTTTCTTTAAGACGAAGAATGGATCGGGATGTCACCACATCCCCTTTGGGGACACATAATCATAGATACCTGCCAGAGGAAGTGACCTCTCAAAGAGGAAAAACCATTCCAAGTGGATTATCTAAAATTTATATAAAAAAGGGCCAATCAGTCAGTGACTCTTACGGGATACACAAAACATCTTAGGAAACAATTTGATCCTCTTGCCAAGTTGACAGAGGGCCCATTCTGCTGCATCCTCCAAGTGGGACGTGGCATGGGGTTCCACCCAAGAGACGTTAATTACCCGGTTGGAAAACCAACAAAAGGTTGCTCCCTCATACAGGATAGCCGATGTTCATGCGGGGCATGTGCTCAGATCGAACGAGATAGCGCCCAGCGAGGGTAAAAATGAATAGCAATCAATTAGGGAGTAGTCAGATCTCGGGGGAGTTAATTAGGGAATAGTTGATTAAGGCGCAATAAAGCCGGGCGGCGGCTGGCGCCCGTAGAACGGCGACGCGCTCAAAAAAATGTTCGCGAAAAAATCGGAGCCAAAATTTAATTAATCACATTAAACAGATTAAACACATTAAAACAATCTAACATGGGGTGGGCAGGGGAAGAAGACCTTTCAACGTTGCCAACGCAGCTTAGGGTGGCGCTGGGGAGTTCGTTCCGTGGATGTGTTGTGCTGTACGTGGTGCAAGGTCTGGTCGAGCTGCACCAAGTCTCTCGAAGCCGCTCGAAGCCGCACATCGAGGAGTCCCGCTGCAGCGTAATGCGTCGCTTTACCGCTTGGTCAACCTCATTCCTCGCGCAACGGCCTCGGTTCGCAGCGCCTCACATGGCGCCTCTTCACATGACACCTCTACAAACGGCGTCTCTATACACAGCTAAGCCGAGGCGCCTCACGGGTGGACCCCGCAAAACCGCTGCAACGCGTGACTAACCACACCGTCGTTGTTGGAGGGGCCAATATACTTAGCACACCTCTTAACCTTATCGGAGGCACTACGGGGCGCAACAGAAGCGGGAATCCCCTCGAGCATTTCTATGTCGTTCTCGCCATCCCCAATGACCAAGGCATTATTCAAACTGATATTGTAACTCTCGCAAATCTTCTTCACGCCCTCAAACTTGTTGGCCTTCTGGTGAAATAACTCAATATAACTCATAAAACTATTTGCTACGTTAATTTTGTGAGAAAACAAATCCTTGCAGGATTGAAAAATGGAGCAAATATTTTGCTCATTTAAACAAATAAGCACTTTATACACCCTCAAAGTTTTAAAAATTTCTTCATTAATAATTTCAGGACGGACGCTTTCTACTTCCATGTAGTTCCTAATTTCTTCATTTAGGGTGAAGCAGAAAGTTTTGTCCACTGTGTACCAAATGCAGTACTGATCGAATTTTCCTTTTTTTGTAAAATTATGAATATCCATTTTCAACTCATCATTAAGAACGTGATCAATTACTTTTTCTCCATTTTCATCATATGTTATGCATCCATTTAGATATATTCCTGGGAATAACTTTAAGTCGTTTTTTTTTAATTCTTCCCCTATGACCCCTTGTACAGAGAATATGGGTCTGCCCGTGGCAAGCACAATTTTAATTCCCTTTTCTTTGGCCTTTATTAACGTTTGCATGTTCAGTGAGGATAGTTTATGGTCATTGTTAAGCAAAGTCCCATCTAGGTCTGTGAAGAGGATTTTTATTTCGCCCTTCAGATTTTCTCGACTCATACTTTTTCCCGATTGGTCCACTATGTCCAGCATTTTCGCCATCATTTTGCTAGTGGTAATATCTCCTCTTCTCCCTGGTGCAACAGTTTCGATTCAACAGCGTTGTAAAGTAGGCGAGGGATAGCGAGGTTGCGTGTGGGACAGCTCCTCTACACAGAGAACTAGCATGTAATGTAAATGAAGTGAAGTACCCACAGTGGTGCAAAAAAAAAAAAAAAAATTTCGAGCTATTTTTACCTCCAAAAGTGGGGGGAAAAAACACTGCCGTGCGTCCGCAGTTATATGACAGTATTTGTAGACGACCCCCTATCACGTACTGCAATTATATGTATATATGCACAGCTACGCTCTCTGGCCTTTTCACTAATTGGTTGATTCTCTTCTTTGAAGGGGCAGTTTTGCTGGGCTGATTCATCAGGCTATTTCCTCATGCCGCTTTCCTTCCGCTCAGTTTGCTAATTTTTTTTTTTTTTTTTCTATGCCTCTTAAAATGAAAGGGGGCCTTCTTTACACAAGACGAACGAAGAGTATTTTTTTTTTTTTTTTTTCTTTTGTGCCATCCAGTGGAGAAAAGATTTGGGTCCGTTTTTGCGAGATATTGCGCTTTCACATTTTCCGCGCGGTGGCTATTGGCGACGCATGTCCGTTTCCGATTAGGGGCGCACGATCATATACACGTATGGGCGCATTCCTGTTTGCACGAAGGAACGCGGCGCCGCGTGAGTATCCTCACAAAGTGAGAACCCATACGTGAGTATGCATGCGCGACCACTTAAAGTGACTCCCTTTTCTCCCTCCGACGGGCACTCGACAGGCGCCTCACAAACGGAACACTTAATTTTGTGGCGCTTTGCTAATTGAGAGCATCATCCTGCTGGTGCCCAAGAGCCACTTTTACCACTTGAGGAATTTTTCTCCACTTCGCCCTTTGGCCTTCGCTTTCCCGCGCGTAACTTCTGCGCGGAGGAATTGCACTCCACATTTACACTTCCTTTGGACCTTCCTTTGGAGCTTCATTTTGTGCGTCACTTTTTTGCGCTTCCTTTTTCTTCACTCATCGGCCCAATGCGCCCCCCTCCAACATGGTCAAACACAAGGACTACAAGAAGAGCGACTTAGTGAGCATCCTGTCGTCGAACGTTAGCAAGGAGAGGAACAAAGCGGTGAAACTCCTGAAGAAGTTTGAGCCCCTCCCGAGGAAGCACCTGGATAGCAAATTCGACCCCAAGAGTGCAATTGTGCACAAATACAGTTCTTTGAAGGCCTTCATGTAAGACGGAGGATCTAGAGGGAGCATTTGCTCCTCCTTTGCAGTGAACATTCATGGTGAATATCTCTTTAATTCCACCACATGACTCCACCGTATGACATCACCACATGACACCACCACGTGACTGTTTTCCTGTCAATTCCTACCCCTGCAGGTGCTGGAGGTGCGACAAAGTCAAGCAGACGAATGTGAAGGTTCACTGGGACACTGCCGAAGGTACGAATGGGAGCGACGCAGTGAACTGCTGCACATAGCGCCGTAAAAAATGACAGCATATGTGTCCATTCCCCTCATTAGAAATCTACACCCTTATTTTCACTCACCAACCAACTTCGCAGGACTGAAGATCATCTGCACCTCATGCCATGGGAACCTGCTCGCAATGAGAGAGGTGGAGAAAGTGAGAAAAGAAAACAATACCAACAGGGAAATTGTCAAAAATTTGAGCAACATGTAGGGAAGAGCAGCTGACTGTGTAACAGCCATTTGAGACTCCTCGCCGTAGACATTCCAATCCGTCAAGATGGTTCTATGTCTGCCTCATTGCCATTCATCTGGAAGTGGTGTAAGAAAGTAAATAGCGCTGTTAGGCAACTGGCACTATGGAAAAAAAAAAAAATTAGAGGAAGCATGATTTACACTGCATGGTGTTAATATGTGCGAAGAATTATCTTTTCTATTTCCTTTTTTATTATTTATTTCTTTTGTTTCTTTTTTTTTCGCGTTCCCTTGAGCGTTTGTGTTTGTTTCGATTCGTCTCTTCTCCTTTTTTTGGTAAACTCAGCGATATAAATACGCCGACATCATTCTTGTTGCTCGAATTATTTTGATTTAATCCCAAATGGGGAGAATTTCCTCTACCAAGGTTCCACGATATGTAAAGCGCCTACCAACTGTTGTCACTCGACTAGCGTTGCGCTCTGGGAACGCACGAGAAAATGTGGAAAAGGAAAAATATTCCTTTCCCAAGTTGAATTCGTGACGTAGAGACTTCCTCACAGCGAAATTTGACAAAGACGGGGCGCTGTTCTCATAGAGTGCAAACCGCTTGCTGGTGAAGGAAGTGCATTTTGCAAATGGGTGGAGAGCTCATTTTTTTTTCTTTTTTTTTTCCTTCCCCATTGGGGATAATGCCACTTCGTGAGAAGATTGACTCTCCCCTTTTTGCTCAAAATGGCTTCGAAAAAGAACACCTACCAGAAGGATGCCTTTAGGGCACTTCCCCTTCAAACCAATTTAACAGCACACCTCAAAAAATGGTTAAAGGCTAAATAGGGATGGTTCATATCGGAATGCATCAAAATTATAGAATGGAGCCAATTTTCCCGTAACCTCCTTTCGGCGCCCCCATTTTTCTTCCTCGACGAATTAGGAATTGTTTTTTTCTGCGCACCACCTTGTGCCTCATCAGAGAAACGCATATCAACGGACCTTCATAAGTAGAAGCTAAACAGAACACGTGCTTCGCACACAACCCTGCTTGCGGGCTCACTACGGATTAATAAAAGAAAAAAATGTACTATTAAATTTAAGGATGGTGATGGGGAGGAGGGGCGGAACCCTAAAGCTGCTACAAAAAAATTAGTCACGAGGGAGAAGCGTAAGCATGTAACGAGGTACATAACGAAACCGCGCGACGTGAAAAAATGAATAATGGCACACTATGCCACGTAGGGATATGGCAAAGCGAGTAGAAGCTCGCTATGCACGTGTGCATGCGGCTGTATGTATCGGCGGGCCTGTCGTCTTAACGCCCCCTCCAACCCATGAAGGCATACAACGTCGGTGTAAAAAGCTGTCGGCACGCCAACAGGAGCATGCAGAAGTTTAAAGAGCTCAACAAAAATGAATGGACCTGTGCTAAGAGGCTACCATAATTTGGAGTTAATTGGGTATAAATTAAAAGAAGGTACACCTTTTCGTTTTTTTTTTTTTTTTAATTAGGCATAAGACATTAAAGAGGAATGAAGGAATAAAAAGAAACTCCCATAAAACGTGGACACGTGGACGCACGAACGTGTGACCGTGTGACCGGTGACCACGGACACGATGCTATTCTCCAAGGCGTATCGCTAACACGACACAGGCCTCACGAACCGGAGGCACATATGTAGTAGAAAGCAAAAATTAATTATCTCTGAACTTGAAAGATTAGTCCCTTTTCCGAAATGAGAACTATGTGACGAAGGGAGGAGGAGCCATATTACTCCTCGGTGTGCGTTTTTAAAGAATTCGTCCGTTACTTTATGGGGGTGGATGCTAGTGCTGGTGCGCGACAAAATGGGACAACGGTTGATGGGCTGTTGGGTTGATGGGTTGTTGGGTTGATGGGCTGTTGGGTTGATGGGCTGTTTTGCTGATGGATGATGAACTGAGGGGATGATGCGCGGCAACTCTTCTTGGGGAACCTAGGCTAAGCATTCTCCAGTCCGCAATGCGTAAAGGTAAGTCACCGTTTCGGCTTCATAACACGCCGTGTCTCGATACTAAAGAAGGTGCACCATTCAGGTCCGGTTGTTCCTCGTCCAATTATGATCTGAAGAATTGCTTATTTTACACCTCTGCACAATCCAGACGCGTCCATCAGAACAGAAACGGATATATACATGTGCGCGTGCTCAACTTAAGGTGAACGCCCTTGCACCCCCATTATGCATGCAAATTTTTACATCAGTCACCTCGCTTTCTAAACTTAACGAGGGGAGCATTTGTACCTCCTCTTCTATTATTGGGACTTCGGCCGTCTGTAAATACACGCACCCCCAATCCTTTGTTTCCGTTCGAAGAATTGCTGAAAACTCGAGCGGAGCCGGAGACAGTGGGAGAATCGGCATTTTTAGGGGGACTGAACTTCTTATGAGAAGTGGGCTGTTTATTAGGAGTGGGCTGTTTATTAGGAGTGGGCTGTTTATTAGGAGTGGGCTGTTTATTAGGAGTGGGCTGTTTATTAGGAGTGGGCTGTTTATTA